TTTTTTTTTCCTTGCGACGCGCAGGAATGTGACAGGACGGTGCAGTTTTCACACAGAGCCCCCCCCCCCTCTCTCTCTCTTTTTTTTTTACTTTCTTTACAGATGATTCATTTCAGGCACTTCTTCTCTATGTTATGTTTTCTTGTTATTATTATTGGGCCTTTTCAGAGCTCTAATAAAACACGAACACGCAGAATATTAGTGATAAAACTCTTAATTCTAGTGGGAATGGGCGCTGTTTAACACCGCGGTTTGTAGAATAAAATGCAATAAAAGCATGAATGAAGCAGCTTTTCTTTACTTTAAACTAGCCTTCTCATCACCATCCAGCAGCACAGTGTTTACACCCCCACCCCCCCGGTGGGATGAAGATGCTGTCAGTCGCCCCTCTTGCTGCCATTGGCTGAGGACTGTGCGTCAAAAAAAAAGTAGCTGGATCCATTTGTTCCCCTGGAAGAGAGAGAGGAGAGAGAAGCAACCCTCCCCACCGGTGTGAGACACGGAGACAGAGAAGGACCTCAGCTCAGCTCGGTGCCTCCTATTGGCTGCAGCTTCGTACAAAACCGAAGTGAAACCAGTTCACTGTGAACACACAGTCCTGCAGGCAGCACGACCCACTGGAGAGTCCATCCTGATGCTGCTTTAATGGTTTTTTTTAAAGGTGAACTTTTAATCTGCGCTGCTCTGACGCTGAACAAGGTTTCTGCTGCTTTCATTTCTTTTCACTCCAGAGGACGTTTATTTCAAGATTTCATCTGAAGGAAACCAAGCAGGGAAAACGAACTTTTTACGCCTCAATGCCAACGTAAGTTTATTATTATTATTATTATTATTAATTATTGTTATTATTATTATAGCCACTTCGTAAAAAAACAATTTTCATTCTCTTAAAATAAGTCATTTGAGTTCAAAAATAAACTCAGAAAGTATTTAATTAAAAAAGCGAGTCTGACATTTGTTTTGCAAAGATTTTCCAGCATAATTTTACTTCTTTGAGGTAATAACAAAAATCTGAAATACTTTTTTTGTGTGTGAAAAACGCGCCTGCGTGATGCACGCGACAGTTTTCGATCAAACCAATCCTGGTTTGGATCGTCTAATTCCTAAAATWAAAACATCAATCCCGAGCTGAAACTTTTATTTATCTGCTGCCGGTCTTTTCCCTCCTTAATTCCATATATTTATGTCTCCAGGTTCTATTGGTCTGAATTCACGTTCTCAGTAATAAAGTGTGAAGGAGGCTCTGGGCGCAAATTCACWTAAGGAAAAAAAAAGACACTTTTCTTCCCCATTTTTGGCCACTTTTTCTACAATATAAAATAACTCTGGAATTATTGCAATAAAGCATGATGTGGCTGAACTCTGGAGCTGAAAGATGTGCCATAAAGAAAGAAAAAAAAAACGAAATAAAAATAAACCAAACAAACAATAACTGCACCTACCGGGGCCTGTTTCCACCTTTGAGAG